ACCCACAAGCTGAGATAAATAAATCAAAAATATATTATTTGTATGGTATTAAAGTACAAGGATGGTGTTTTGATTCATTTCCACTTCCAGAATACAATGATAGTTGACAAATTATTTCTAGGTGTCAAAATTAGGTCATCAGAAAATTGAGACAAGATAATATGATGGGCACACATGTATACTGTTAAAGGCATACATTGATGTTTGAATAGACCTATCTTGTCACAGCGAATGTGACCCTCTATAGTATTTATGGCTAATCTACATATACCTCGTATTGCCCGGCGTTGTAACGCTATGTGAAGTGCACCCTCAAATCAGGACAATAATTACTTGTATTATGCCCGGACAAGCATGCTTTCAGCAATCAAAACAAAACGTGGCATTCTAAATTACGTTGTGTGTTTGCGGTCACGCCGTGGTAAAATTTAATTAAACTTATAAGAAATATGATAAATATGATTATTTATTTTATGCCCTCAGTCATAGGGCTAGACTGTCAACAGTCAGTCGTACCTAATCTTAATCTGTTATTATTAATAAATATTGTGTATAAAAGTAATAGGAGTGAATAAATTGCGAGTGCCGGGACAGGAAGTATGGAGTGCCATTAAGCACGACTGACTGTCCTGTTCGGTGCTGCAATTCACTGGTAAGATTTCTTACCAGATCCGGGTACTTTCATATGCAAATGAATAGTCGCACAGATGTCTATCATTTTATTGTGGCCAATCGTGAAAAGGGTCACGGATGGTTGGCTACTAGGATCGCCCACGGACTTACGCGAAGTTAGTTTTGACTGTACGATGCACGATCATATCATATCAACTAGAAACCTGCAGAAAGGGACAGTCTCTCGGGACTAATGTCCCTCGTGTGAAATGATTTGCATTTCCCATCAAATGCCTTTGGCGTTCGAATGTCTAGAAAACACAATTACATTAGGCCCGAGGACTGTCGACAGTCTATCATAGGGCTTACGCATCCTCGCAAGCTTGGGCACTCCTGCTGCATGCCCTCAGGCTGTATCCAGACCATGAAGAATAATATAGACCAACCTTATCAAGCAGTCTGGCTGTTGATCTTGGCGGCGTACACTCAACACCTAGCTTTACACAAAGATCATCAAGGAATTTATTGGTCTCTGTAATGAAAGTGAGTAAATATTTGAGAGGAAGTGATTTATGATTCTCTGTGGTTGGAGAAGAACTTAGTCCCTTGTCAATGAGATACTCTTCACAACTAATAAGTCAGTCCTTGTTTAATTTGTTCAACCTTATTTTTATGCGTTAACACATGTACCGTTAGGGATAAGGCAGAGCATAGAGAAGTATCAAAAATTTGCAGGAAACTGTTTCAAGGAGGAATCGATTACTATTGTCAAAGCTTATATTTAGTTTGTCTAAACTTGAACTTAGTTTGTCTTCATTTCCAACTTCGTGTGCTGGGGACTGAAAACTGTAAACTATTATGTGTGAATTAAATGTTTACCTGGTGAATCAAAACTATCAGCTGCTGGTAATTTCACACCAAGCTCTTTTTCAAGATCTGGAATCATACGAATACGACGAAATGGCGGCGTGAAATCAACTTCCCAGGCCTCTTCCCCGTCCTGTCCTTCAGGGTGATACACTATTTTGTAGCTCCCATGTACTGATTTAACCATTCCTGAAATAATTTTTTTTTTAGATCTTCAAATCTTCAATATGGGCACATATGAGCACTAGTGAGTTTTTACATACATCAAATACAAACCATTTATAGTACCTTGATGTACAGATCATCTATGTAACACATACAATGTAAAAAGTGCAAATACGATACAATATTTCTAAACAAGAGGGGGAATTAACTGAAACTTTGCAGAAAAATCAATTTCAAGATGGCGTGCCATTAGATTACCCAACATGCATTTGGCTAATTCAAAACATTGTACATAATAAGAATGGGGAAATTTCACTATTAGTGCCATTTTATTGAGAACAAGTAATTGCATTACATAATCTCAGTGAGTTCTCAAGTTTAAGAACATGAATAGTCAGAGAATGTCGGAGATATGGCGGCAAAACTGCATTCACTAAAACAAACTGGCCACCAGTCGGACACACAAAGTGACGTGCAGGTCCCATAAAGTTCAATGTACATAACAACTTTGAACGAAACCTGTATATGCATGATCAAGAATTGCAGAAACACTTGGTGAATTCTTAACATTAAAACAACCACACAATTCGGCCATATTGAGTACATATCAATTAGTTTTCGTTTTTTTATAAAATGTAGCAGCTTTTACAAAATGGGTAACATACAACGAACTTCTATGTACATACCTGCAATCAATGACTCCGTCATTTCCATAAGATCATTATAATCAGCATAGGCCATATAGAATTCACAAGTTGTAAACTCAGGGTTATGCGTTAGATCTATACTTTCATTACGAAACTGTCTTCCAATCTCATAGACCCTATCAATACCACCCACTACTAACATCTGAAACACAAAGCATAATATAATATCTATCAATATCTTTACACACAGTATTAAAAAGACTAGCAACTATTAAACGTTCTTGCATCTGAGCAAGAGATACTAAATTCTTGACTACGCCGAGGAACATAAAAGTTAAACTCTGCAAAGCCTTCTTGTGAAAACAGAATATATGCAATCATTGATGTTTTATAAAAAAAATTATCTAGGAAATAAAAATTCCTAACAGTCAGTTAAGGAGCAATGGCATTTGAGGTTAAGATCATCAGCCAACAGATGTTCAGCACCAATAAACAGCAACAGTTTCTGTGATTTTGTTACATAGACTGAAACGAGACAATATGCAAATCAGCTATTTAATATGCATGAACATGGCTCTAACCATGTCTGCACATTACCTCCGAAGTACCTATGCACTAAATTTGATTAAAATCTGTTCAAAAGTTTGAGAATTGACTAACACAAGCTTAAATGAGAAATTAATATGCAAATTAGCTACTTCATATGGACAAAACTGCACCCAAAACTAGTCATGATCAAAGTTTACTTAAAAGTTTTTGAGATTTGGCTTACACAGACAGACACACAAGGAAATAAGTGTTTGTTGCTCCTGTGAGCGCAATGTACAAATTCAAAACGTTTCAGATCAGCCGTACAGCACATGTTCAAATTTCAAGCAAACAATGTATTTACACACATATTACATACAATGAAGCATGGGACACGTATTAATTAAACATGCGGTCATGCAACAATTGTGGTGGCGTGGTCAATATGGCAAAATAAACATATACGAACAAATACATAGTATTACACAGCTTATAAGCATGTAGTCAATCACCGAGAACTATCGTAATACTGCATGAATGATCGTCTTCCTTGTTTAAAATGTATTTGACGAAAGACACAAGCGACGACTCAACCATGAGATAACCTCACCTTATGATATAGTTCAGGCGCCACTCTCATAAATAAATCCATATCTAAATCGTTATGATGCGTTACGAACGGTTTGGCTGTAGCACCGCCAGCAATCATGTTCATCATTGGTGTTTCAACCTAAGAAATATGCAAATTATCACGCTTATTCAGATGAAATTTTGTGTTTTTGTTAGTATTGTAATGTTCAGAATGAATATTGCAGTATTGTAGTGTTGATTAGTGTGTTCTGTTGAGTATTGAGGTGTTCTATGTGTCTATTACAATGTTCAGAATAAACATTATCCTCTTGTATGTTTTAAGATGTTCTAGGTATACACTGTTAGTTGTGTTTTGGTAAGCCATAGGTGTATATTACTGTTTTCAGGGTGTATGTTGTGTTTTGGTAAGCCCTAGGTGTATATTACTGTTTTCAGGGTGTATGTTGTGTTTTGGTAAGCCCTAGGTGTATATTACTGTTTTCAGGGTGTATGTTGTGTTTTGGTAAGCCCTAGGCGTATATTACTGTTTTTAGGGTGTATATTGTGTTTTGGTAAGCCCTAGGTGTATATTACTGTTTTCAGGGTGTATATTGTGTTCTGGAGAGCTATATGTGTATTACTGTTTTCAGGGTGTATATTGTGTTTTGGTAAATATTGAGGTGTACTGAGTGTATATTACAGTGTTCATAAATTCTCACCTCAAGAAATCCAAGTTCATCTAAATATTTGCGAACGTAGTTAACAATTCTAGCTCTTGTAACAAACTTCTGTCGGACAGTGTCATTTATAATTAAATCCAGGTATCTCTGTCTGAACCTTGTTTCCTATGATAAAAACAGATTGACTGCAGTGAGAATATCTGTATTTTACAGATGGCCATGGCTAACACTATTTTGACACAAGAATTTTTGTACATTTGTTTTCTTTGACTAGTTTTTGAATTATAAACTTCAATTGTGTATACATTGTATTTTCAATTCAAAATGGCCGTCAAAGAAGGGCTTACATCTGTAGGAAAATAATCGTTTCCATGGAAACAAGTTCGAGTATCCTTATTTTTGACACATGCGAGTCATTTCACTGAGCAAAATATCAAAATTGTAGTGATTTAAAAAAAAAAAGTGTTAATATAACATACCTTATCTTTAAGACCAAAGTGAAGATGTGGCAACATGTGTAGACACGGTGATAAAATCTGCATATGCGTTGGCATAATACTTAGCTCTCCCTTCTTTGTTTTACCTATGATTCATAAAATATCAGTTTAAATTTGTATTGTTCCTGATATTTTGATGGACCATATAAAATAAATAGTTTATTTGGTAATTAGGTTTTCAGGATCTCGTGATAAATATTTTTAGAAGAGATGAAGACGTGAATGCTGAATTCAGACACTGAGCGTTACGATTAGTGAAAGACTTGAAGATTTGAGGCTATAATGTTTAGTCATTTGCATAATGATATTGATACACCACTGCAAGCATGTGTAAACTGAGAACCGATTTCTCAGAGTAGAGTGAGCCAAGTGAGGATTTGTCATCAAATCCGGGAGAAGAATCACGCAGTGGAAAAGAGCACTTGTAACTGACATGTTTATTATTCAACTGTTAGGCCTGGAATTGGGTCAAGTCTTCACGAGATGTTTCATACAATGTATCAATATCATTATGCAAATAACTAAACTTATGTCACAACCTCAAATCATTACAAAGACACTAAACTGACAATTCATGTCTGAAATATAGGACAGCCTTTTCACTTTGATATGAACATCCTTGGTTTGTGCTCAGTGAGTGCCCAAACCCAAGATTTATGCTAATTTATACACTCAGCAGCAAATTTACTTCAATCCGACATGAATAAAGTAAGAACACTGCATTTATTGAAATTTGATTGATGGTCTGAGTTAGAAACCAATAAACGCAGAGTAGATATGCAGCTGCAATGCTCGTTTTGTTCATATGAAGTTGAAGGAAAAAAATTATAATGTATGACATGTAATAATCAATATTGTCTAACATTGTTAGAAACAAGGACCCAACTATAACAAAACAAAAGCATACATTTCCTACACATATGTACAAATTTAATATTGAAGCCAACTAATTTACATACCTGGATTTCCTTTTACACCAATAATATCACCTCTTCTGATTCTCTCATTTATTTCAAAGAATTCATCTTCTGAGGCAAAAAATCTGAAATAAAAATTTAATTAAATGCTTTGTTTTTAATGTGAGAATAGTTGTTAGCGCTAGTTGCGAATTGTGCTCCAACGATGGTTTATCAAAAATTTTAAATCATAACTAACAATAATCAAAATATTCATACATTTCATGACACACCGTAAAAACTCTAATATTTCGACCAGTTTTGAATAGTTTTTTTTTGGAAAGTCAAATTTTTAGACTCATGAACCCGTCAAAAATTCTGAAGTGGACGAAATTTTGAAGAAATGTTGGTCGTTTTGGAATAACATGGGAAGCTTTTGGGGTTTCTTAAAAAGTGGAATAAACAAAGACAGTACGGACAAATTTGTTTTCAATAATGCGCGGTACATGCTCAGCTAGGGGTCACCACCTACATGACCTAATTTACACAAAAGTGAAATAAAAACAAGCGCGTAAGATAATGCGGACAAATTTGTTTGAAATAACGCACGGTAAGTGTTCAGCTAGGGTTCACGATCTGATGACCTAATTTACACAATAGTGAAAACAAAAAAAGCATGTAATGGCGTATAGATAAAATTTACTAATAAGTTATAGAATATAGAAAAGATTACATTTTTGTCATTACAGTATCTGCAGTTATTGAGTTAATAAATAAATCCCCCGGTAAATAAAACTTTTATTGTTGGTATGAATTCATCATGATGTAAATCATTGAAATTTTTTTTATTTTACTTTACTTTATTTTATTCAAAACAATAAACTTTGATTGTAATGGTATCTCTTTTTGGAGGATGTGGTGGCCCAGAAAAGGGCGGTTTGATTTGTGCAGCAAAATATATTGCGAAAGTCATTACTGGATGTCGGTGAACCCCTTGAACCACAGTCCCTCCACAAACAGCCTGTTTGTTGTGTGCGAGGCTCTTCTCACTGCCATCTAGTGCATTGGATATGTGGATTAGCGGATGTCCGGGCGGATGTGTACCACTCCGTCCCAAATGTGTGAGACTGGTATTACCGGACGCTGTCTTTTGGAAAATCACTGCGGTGAAATTGCGATTTTGGCGGTGTCTACATGGGGGAAA